CCCAAATAGTATAGGTAATTCTTAAGGCCCCTATGTTACTCAGCTCGCCTGCATCCGTCGCAATGCACCCAGAGCCAGCAGCCAGTGACCATTCCTGTTGGTGTTCCAAGATGTTCGTTTTTGCCTATAAAGTTTTCATGAATCGACACCTTTCTAGGAGCTTGTGATGCCTCCCAAAGTGCCACCCAATGGACTCTAAATCCATGTTAACTGACTGACAGGAATGTTTTTTTATTGTTCATAGTTCCTACCCCTACAACACTCTGCGCAGTCTAAAGGTCCCTTTTCTTAGCTGCCCAGTACCCTGGCCCAAAAAAGTTTAAACTTTTCTTTTAGTGGGGGTTGAATATACCAAAAAAGTTTAAAGTTTACCTATTGGGCTCCTAAGCTAACTAAACCCTAAACCCTAAACCCTAAGTATCAAGGCCCAACTGTCAAGCTCCCAGCACGCCCGGGTCGGAGAATGAAGACAGAAGCCCCAAAGCTTCGGTTTAGGGTTTAGGGTTTTCGGGTTCCTTTAAAGGGATCTATAAGGGCTTAGGGTTTAGGGTTTTTTAGGGATCTATAAGGGTTTAGGGTTTTAGGGCTTGGGGTTCCTTTTCAGGGATCAACAAGGGTTTCTATCTAGAGTGTGCCGGGCGTTGGGCTTAAGCTTATAGGGTGAAGGATTTACGGTTGCTTACGTTGCCCCGAATCAAGCCCAACAGCCCCAAAGCTCTACATCCTGAAACTCGAAATCCTAAAGCCGAGAGCCTTTTTGCAACTGGCTTGCAACCTCACGCCCGGATAAGCCGAGAGCCTAAACCCAAATCCCTAAACCCTAAACCGTGGCTTAAAGACCTCACACCCCAAGTTTTAGGTTGAGGGTAGGCGGATCGTTAAGTTTCGAAGAACTTGGAGCACTTGAAACGTTGGGATGCTTGCTCTTGACCCTCTGTATTTGGGTAGTTCTCTAAATTAGGGTCCCCTTGAGGGTCCTTTTTATAAGGGTGCCGTACTATATTTGGGACCCAAAAAGGGACCCTTATTTAGAGAACTCCCCATTTGCCCCTGATACAATGATTCCCTACTTGGAGGCCCAGGCGACTTAGTAAGTCGGTTATAAGTAGGGTTATTATTGGGGTAACTCCAGTTCGGGTACCTATAACTCTACTTACAACCTACTTGCTAAGTCCCCTGGGCCTCCAAGTACAATGATTCCCTTTACATTGCTCTTAAGGATAGAGGCTATTGGGTTTCCAACTTTTGGGCTTCTACTATGGGTGTCGATATCAACAGCCCTGATTTTTCAGAGTTTGGACCCTACATTGAAGCAGAAACGGTGAAACCCTAGGCCAATCCCAACACCGGCAGTTAAGATACATGCAGACCTTGAGAAAATTTGGGATCCTTGAACAAGGACGATCCTTGTGCATAAAAGCTCGAGGTATACAAGGGGCACCCTTTCAGCACGGACTGAGGTGCCGGCCAGCGCCCATGCAACCCTCACCCCGTCTTAAGGCAAGAGCGCGCAGGAAAAGCTGTTGATGACAACTGACGGAAGCTTAGAATGAAGATCCCTTGAAAGTAAACTACTGCACCATCTGTTCAAGAATAGAATATCCCTAAACCCT